GCATTCATAGTTTACCCTCGAAAACGATCTGAAAAGTGACAATTTGTGTCCTTGAAGGCTACGCTCATATAATAATAATAATACTCTCCCTAATTCACCCCCTTACGAGTGAATTTTAACCCCAAAAGCTTAGCTTGTGCGGGGAAAGGGACGGCTATTATTATTATTTGCCGTGGCGCTCCGGGGCGACTTAGGGATGATTGATGGTGTCATTTGACTTACAAATGAGGAAAACCCGGAAAACCTCACCCACCATCATTTACATTGCTTTTATGTCGCGACCACTATGGGCCGAACGGATTGCTATGATGTTGTTTCAAAAATGACATTATACCTGAATAAGTAGGTACGCTTTATAGTAAATTTTTGTTCAAGTAGCTAGCTTGACAATAAGGGTATGGTGAGCGATCAAATTCTAGTGATGATTGTAAAAACTCTTTCCGAAATGCAATGAGATATTTAGTCTAGTTCATGTTCACCAAAGAATGTATTTTAGTAACTTGTTTCAAATTTTATTTTATTTAATATCGTCAATTCGAAGTTTAGTTTGATACAATAAGCAAAACAGCACTATTTTGATTTTGTACCTGTAAATTTATTAATATGTAGTATAATATATAAATAATAGTTTATTGTACCTATAACAAAGACAAAAATATTTTTTTAATACATATGTCGTACAATATGTAAATAAATAAAGCTATTGATATTACTTATAGATCTTCAAAAAACTATTCAATAAATAAATTTAAATTTCGCGCGAAACTTGATTGGCAATTGACATTTGACATGATTTGTCATTTAGTCAAACAAAATGGCCTCCTTCCTTATTCTCCTTCTAGGTTGTTGAACGTTAAGTTATGGTGTCGTTTGCGTTGGATGGTTTCAGTCGTTCCAATCTAGTGGTTATTCAATATGTTCGACCTTTTTCCCTCCACTGGATTCTTCATTAATTAATTATATGGATTTCACTTATTTCTCGTTTTAGGTAAGTGTAATATTTTTTTTTATCTTCATAAAATATTAACGAAAATCTTTGCCAACCAATCTGCAAATAATATGGTATGTGAAAGTGAATAGTAATAATGCCGAAATAAAAATTTCATTATTTCCATTAGTTCGTAATTTATGGGAAGCAGAAACTACTACGAAAACACATTTTTGTTTCAGTTCAACAAGGTACTTAGGAAAATAGAACCAGAAGTTAATGAAAACTGGCAAATTTATGGGGTTCATAAAATTTTTTATTCTACAGGTATAATGATAATAATTAAGCTTTTTAAAACATTATGTGCCATAAATAGTTTTAGCAAATACAAAAATATGAGACAAAAATTGAATTCTCATGTGTCAGTTGTTCTTGCTTGTAGTAGTATGAGTTAAAATAACACTAAAATAAGTTAATTTTATCCCATACTAACCCGTCCTAAATTTTTGCTGTACATTTTTAGATGATTTTCAAAAGGCTACAAAAAAACTAAAAAGAGCTGAAATTACATCTGACTTGCAAACAGATCTGGAGGATCATGCTGATATTAGACCTAGAAGAAAAATCATAAAAATAAAATTTAGTTCCGATGAGAGTGACAGCGACAAACAGGCTCGGGAACAGGTTTTATTATCTAAGGCAGATAAAAAGTTGAAGCAACGTTTACCACGGCCTCCATCTGTGAACATTAATATTCCTTCAAATGCAAGAGGTTAGTTATTCTTAGATTTACATTAATAGTATTGTTTATTATTTTGTACAAACGTTTCTAAATGACACTGAAACTAGCAGCCACTCTACTTTTTTAGTTAAGGAACTAAAATAAGTTCTAAACAATACAAATTTAATAAAACTTTTAATAGGGTCTTCTAATAATCATAGAGTAGCCAGATTATAAATTCATATTTACACTAAAAAAAAATAAAGTTGGAAATTCCTCGATTTTGGAAAAAGATTCATAAGTTCTAAACGCATAATACGAATTTAATGAAACTTTTTACAGAATCTTCTAATATCCTTAGAAAGACAATAATCATAGAGCAGCCATATTATAAATTCATCTTTACACTGAACAAAAAAATTAAGTTGAAAATTCCTCGATTATGTATGTATTGTGCATTTAGAACTGATGAATCTTTTTCCAAAATCTAAGGATAGACGACCCTGTAAAAAGTTTTATTACATTCGTATTATGCGTTATTTTTTACATTATATTTAAATTAGTTTTATGTTGTTTTTTACCTTTATATTTCTGGCGATGACTGTTGTTACAATTGAAACGTTAAAATGAATTTTATATATAGTTTTGTTATTAAGTTTAATATTTATGTTAAATTTTGTACCTTCCTATATTTCAGAAAATCTAAATTGATTGATTTTCTTCTGTTGTCTTTGCTGCCTTTATTTTTATAAATGACACAAAATTGTATGTTTTTTATCTGACTAAATAATAAATCTTATTTTTATGTAGGACATTTTTCAATCCGTTTCATGTTCAAAAGTAAACATCAAATTTGTTTTTTTTTTGTTTTTTTTTTAAATTTGCATTTGTACATTTTTTGAAAGTACTCTATTTTTAATACAACCAGTTACATTGGAATAGGGATTCAATAATAAAGTATTTAGAGAGTAATAAATCAAATTGTAGGATTGTCTCAAGAATTGGAATCTGGTACAGATGAGTCTGACACAGGTGAATCTTCTGGTGCTTCTGGCCCCAAATTACTGAACAACACATCTACGCCAAGCAGTAAGTTAGCGGTTCAGATATACAGTGTGCATCTTAAGTCTTACCCCCCCTAACTAACTCGTTACTGGCGTCTTGTTAGGAAAATCGCCGAGACAGGTCGATTTTTAATTTCTACAATGTATATTTTTGCATGATTAGTTAACCCTTAATTTCATCCCTTACTGGAGGGTAAAAACCCATTCGAAAAATTTAAATGGCATGGGGTGGTGAGTGATAGCTCATTTGAAAGGGAGTTTTATTCTCTATTCAACCGTGCAAAAAATTTTTGAAATTTGCATCATTACATGTTGATTTATTAATGTTTAAAAATAACAAAACCTCACAAAATTGGAAAGCAACTAGACTAACAGTGACCTTCTAATGGCAAAAAGTCATACTTCACGTCTGAACCAAAACCGAAGTCATGCAGGGCCGAATTTTAATTCTAAGGATGAGTGCGCTACGTTAATTTCCGTTATTCTGAAACAACAATTAGTCGAGAATTAATGAAGCAAATTTCAAATTTTTTTACACGGTTGAATAGAGAATAAAACCCTCTTTCAAATGAGCTATCACTCACTTCCCCATGCCATTTAAATTTTTCGAAAGGGTTGCTCCCCTCCAGTAAGGGATGAAACTAAGGGTAAACTATTTATACAAAAATGTACATTGTAGAAATCAAAAATCGACCTGTCTCGGCGATTTTCCTAACAAGACTCCAGTAACGAGTTAGATAGAGGGGGGGGGGGGGTAAGACATATGGTGCTCACTGTATATATCAAAAGCTTCATCTTTTGAAGAAAAAAACTACATTTGAAACACCAACTCTGAATGAGTCTTTAAAGATTGACAATTGTCTTCAGAATCAAAATGGTAAGTTGTTTTATTTAAGTACTTTGGCATTTTAATATCTTCCTTATTATTAATTTGCCAAAAAACATATTGTTGGTTTAAAGCACACATTTAGTGTGAAGTTGGAAGCAAATGGCAAACGTCAGCATCAACTATGGTCTTATATGCATTTGAATGTTTTTATATTTATGAATCGAGCTGAATACCTATCATTCTAAAATAAATTAATCTTTCATTTTATTTGTGGTTATGTATGTGTATGCATAATGAAAGCTAATTTATTATGTTTTAGATATTTTACAAATAACACCAGGGAGTAATAAGAAATTTACAAATACTAGGACAGGTAGGAAAGAAAGTGTGCCAGAAACACTGGAAAAGAGTAATCCTAACGCTCTGGTGAATCTTTTCTTAGATAACTCCATACCTAGTTGTTCCAGCAATAATCAGGATATATTGGAGACACCTAGGACTGCAGGAGCCTTTGAAAATTGCAGTGATAGTAAGTTCAAGTTTTAAAAATTATAAGTTTTTATTCGGGAATAAAATACTTGTAAGATAGTTTTACTAAATTTCTGTAAGATTGATTATATTTTAATTAAAATTTTTATTTTAGGATTCAATTGCATTTTAGCCCATTTAATTAAAATAGAGCATCAGAACAACCAAATAATATCTATTTTGAGACAAAAAAAATCTGAAATATTTGGTACAATTCCTGAATGCATTAATGAATTACTATTAAAAAACATTGAAGAATTGACTAATTTTGAAACAAAAATTTCATCAGAGGAAGAGTTTAAGTCTTTGATAGGTAGTACACATAAAACATTATTCAACATTTTTATTAAATACCTATGCAATTTTTGCAGGTTTCTTATTTGTCACAAATTGGAGGGGAAGAAACTGTTACTCGAACAAACAAAATTTTGCGCTTTTTGTTAAAAGACGAATTGGCCAGGTTATTTAACTTTTGTGGGCATAATGATAAACAACCATTTACAAATTTGAAATTAAAAGATGCAATAACTCGTAAGTAATACTGTCTAAAATTTTAAATTTACTTCTAAATTATTATTTACCTAACTTTGATAAATTTTTGTGACATCAATAAATCTATTGATTATTTTATAATAAAAAGTGTGCTTGTCTAATGGAGATTACTCACCATCCGTTCCGACTTATAGATTACTAAACTACACAAACTATAATATAAAATAGAATAATGTAGGTGTTAAAAAATATTGTTTCAGAGTCCGTTCAGAGTAAGGAAAAGGCAACTTCTAAACATGATATTGAACAATGCATTAAGAATTGGTTCAAAGCGCATCCAGATCGCCAGAAGTAAAGGGGAGAGAATTTAAATATTTTTTTATGTGCAGGTGCGGACGACTAAGAAATAATATTTTTTAATTCAATTAATGGTTTAACATGTTTCGAAAACGTAAGCAAATAGTTTCTAAATGGCAATTAAGTAGAAGAGTAAAACATCAAGTTCAAATAGAGTTACAGAAATTTAACAATTTAAGAGATAACCATAATCCTAGTGACACTAGTTCTCTTTGTATTAATGTTTGTTCAGAAGATAATGACCTAGATGTAACTAAAATAGATCCTATTCCACATATTTCAACTTCCAGTTTAGAATTTAGCGACGAGGGTTCAGTAGTATTGGAAAATGATTTACTATCATCTGATGACAATGACATCTCTCCTAAATTTGAACACGATTTTTCTATTACTCTTGATTTGCAAAGTAAATTAAAAGATTGGGCTCTCTCTGATAACATTTCACATTCTGCTGTTACTAGCTTATTACATATTCTGCATGATTATCATTCAGAACTTCCATTAGATTGTCGAACATTGTTAAAAACCCCAAGACAAATTGAAACGAAGCATTTGGAAAACAAGGAATATATACATTTTAATCTAACAAATACCTTAAAACAAATCTTGAATAAAAATGGTAGTTCATTATCAACCGAAATATCTCTAAGTTTTAATATTGATGAGTTGCCACTCTTTCATAGTTTAAATACACAATTTTGGCCTATTCTCTGCCTTTTAAGAGATAAAAATTTAAATTTTGAACCATTTGTAGTGGGTATATTCTGTGGAAGTGGTAAACCTACACCTCTTTATTTATATTTAGAAGATTTTATTAAGGATGTTTCAGAATTACTTACTAATGATATTATACATAACATGATTAGGTATTCTATTACAATACATAATTATTTTACCTGTGATGCACCAGCCAAAGCATTTGTAAAGTCTCATGGAGGTTATTCGTCATGCGACAAATGTACAGAATATGGGGATTATGTAAATGGCAGAGTAGTTTTACAAAATTTAAATGCTCCACTAAGAACTGATGATTCATTTAGTGAAAAAATTGGTGAAAATCATCACTTAGGCATTTCCCCCCTGAAAAATTTGAATGTTGGTTTAGTGTCACTTTTTGTAATAGACTACATGCATGCAGTATGCCTTGGTGTAATGAAAAAGCTTCTTAACTCCTGGGTTGGTGGCTCTCTAAAGGTTAGACTCCAAGCTAGGGTTGTTAATAATATAACTGAACATATTATATCTCTAAGAAATTTTATTCCGAAAGAAATAAATAGAAAACCTAGAAGTCTTTCAGATTTACAACGATGGAAGGCAACTGAATTCAGAACTTTTTTATTGTATATAGGCCCAATTGTGTTAAAGAATATTGACATAGGAGTGTATGAACATTATCTTTTATTTCATAGTAGTATTTTCATTCTCAGTAATTCAAAACTCATACAGCGCTTTGGAAGAGATCAAACAAAAACATTATTACATACTTTTATTACCCACTGCAAAAAAATATATGGATTGGAATGTCTTGTATACAATATTCATATTTTAAGTCATTTAAGCGACGATGTTAAGAGATTCGGACCTCTTGATTCGTTTTCGGCCTTTCCATTTGAGAATTATTTGGGACAAATCAAAAAGTTTATAAAAAGTCCCAATAAACCTTTGCAACAGATTTATAACCGTCCTTTTGAAATAAATAACTCAAATAAAGTTTCCACTGAATTGAAATCTGCCCAATTCCTATATGAGCACATTCAGGGTCCAATATTAAAAGACAATATGATAAATGGTAGGTATTTTCAATATAAAAAAATAATTTTGACAAATTACGTTTTAACTAACAACTCATATTCAGTTGCTAATAGTTTCTGTATAATATCTCAAGACGTCGTCATAGAAATTTATAATAATATTAAATGTAATAATAAGTGTTTATTGGTAGGAAAAGAATTTTTGTCCAAAGAACAACTTTATAATTATCCATTTGATTTAAAATCTCTTCATATATATGTTTTAAAACAATTGTCTGAATTTAAAATGTGGACATTTAACATTAAGAATATGCCATCAAAATGTTTAGTGTTCCCTTTTTCATGGGTCTCATTTCCATTAATACATACTATGTGATTTTTAGTTCTTTTTAAAAGCTGCGGCTGCATTTTTGTATTTATACCTTGATCTATATTACATATTTTTATCTATATTTTTTCTTAGTCGTTCGGATCTAGAGTTCTTAGTGCTATATACTTTTTAACTCTGTTTTTTTTATTCTAATAAAAATTACTTTTTTGTAAAAAAATTGTTTAATTCCCGTCAAATATTATGACGTTATTTTCACGTTATACATTTTGACGTTAAATCCACGTTATGCATTCAACCGTTGCATACACATTGTGTTACTAACGTTTATTACACGTTACTTATACCAACATATTTTCCACGTAGTTTAAGAAACGTTGTTTAAGTGGTGCATAACTACGTAATTAGCCATGTTGAAGTTACGTCGTTTGGCAACGTTACTTGGTGGTTTTTACAACCTTTTATTCACGTAATTGTAACGTGTCTTGGTTAACTGGGAACTATGTTAATAAAAATAATTTAACCATAACTTTAGGAACAACTGTGTTATGAACAATAATTAAGCTTAAACGTTGTTTTTGCCACAAATCTTTTTTTTTTAATTTGGCGTCATCTGCATCGACTGCTAAGGTCATCAGCCTCGTGTTCTGTGTAGGCTTTGTTACTGTTTCCCAGCGCCACTTTAGGAACAGTACTGTTCATTAGAACCCAACAGTGAATGGTCGAGTGGGGAATCCTACCAAGGCAGCCACTAATATTAAAAGTAAATGTACAATTTGTATAATTTTCAATATTATTATTTTTTAAAACGTAATACAATCTCATAAAAAATGAAAATGGACTAAATATTTGGCGTCGATTTGAATATTTATGTTTGTCATGATCATAAAACGCTGTAATAAAATGACAGATGAGTGCAATAAATTTTTTATTGCACTATTGCAATAAAGAATCAGTTTTTTCATTAAATATAGTTCAATAAAGTTTTGTTTTTTGCATGAACGTAGAAAAAATATTTATGATATCTATTAACACACGTGTACGAGAATTATAATTAAAGAATTTTTTCCATAATTTATTAAACATAAAAATATTGTTCGTAAACGTTCAATAGATTACTAACCGATATACTACAAATAGAAATTAAGCTAATACTTAGGTACATTTGCACTGCAAATAAGTGAAGCTTAGTTTTTATCGGCAAACTGTCTTAAGCTTAAAATTACTTTTATAATGCAAAAATCACATTAGGCTTTGTATATTTCTTAAAGACTAGCAGTCTACTTAATTAAAGAACATAGGTATATTTAATAAAAAATAATGATTGTCAATTTTTGTGGTTTATAAAAAATATAGTTAGTAATAGGTAAGTATTTGAAAATAAAATTTATGTTGTATTAAAAAGTACTTAGTTACTTATATGCTTTCTAATTCTGCATTTTCTTTTTCTGCAACAGAGGCTTCATGGTTCAGATCATCACTGAAAAATTAAAAATTTTGAACGATTAACCCACAAGTGCAGGGTTCTTTACCTTTTAGTTTCATCTTCTTCTGGGGCCTTAGTAAGTCCTGATGGCAATACACCTGGAATTATTTTAGTTCTTCCTCCGCATCCAGTCTTTGACATAAAAATGATTGGAACATAAAACATCACTATTTGAAATGTTTTCTGGGGTAAGTTTCAATATGTTTCATCAAATGCATTTTTCGGCAGGATTAGTTGGAAAACTACAAAAAAATTATTTATTTAACATTATCATGATTAAATGAGTTAAAAAGGAAAAGCTTGTTTATATTGAAAAATTGTGATTATTTTTTTTTAACTTTTTAGTTGAGTCCAAAATCTAAAACAATATTCCTCATACATAATACAAGTTCTTTAAATCTAATTCACTAAATTTACCATTTATTTTAAAATCATGTTTTACGGATTTTCGCATAAAATGTAAGTACTTATGTTTCTTTTAAAAAAATTGTAGAAACGTTAATGGTTACTTACTTGTGAGATGATTTTGACGATGCCTTTTCGTATTTCTATTTAAAACTTACACAAATTGTCAGTATTGTTAAAATTTGTATCACTAAAATAATAAACAAAAAATCATTTATCAACTACAAAAATAAACTAGAAATTAATAAAAGTCAAAAATCAAATGACAGTTCTGACAATTTTAAGAGATTTGACATACCAAGCAAAACGAAACAGACCAATGAGAATGCTGGACACTATTTTTCCCCCCTGTACCAAAACAAAGTCCATTTGGAAGATGGCTCTAGAAATGTATGCTCGAAGGTTAGCATACGACTTTTAATATCCCAGAATTTCTTTACCTATGACCGCGCGACTTTGGGCAACTAGACTAAATTTTTTTCTAGTTAGTTCTCAAAAGAAATTATAAGTGTAACAAAATAGAGGTAACTTTGATGATATTTACAAACATGAATCGATTTTAAGTGCTCGCCATTCCCTTAATTGTCAATCTATTTACTTAAACAAAAAACTATCGCTCGCAAACTGAAATCACTGCAAAATATTTAAGCGCGACCTTCACAGACAAGATATGTCACTTTTCAGTACGTAGTAGGTAGGTCAGTACTATTTTGGGGTTTGTTTAGATAAAGATATTTTTCATTTCAGACTAGCCGTTTCCAAAGCCTTTTAAAAACATCCGTGTTTTCTTTTAAACACCCCTACATAAAATTCAAGCCAGATAGTCCAGGAGCAGATGAAGGGGATCATCAGAACATCGAATTGAATCAGCAAACCAATTTATGGCTTTATTTTAATTTTTCACATGTAACTTCTATCTTAAGTGCTACATTGCTTAGGTTAATAGTTAAACTAACCTACTTTATTAATTTCCTACGTAGCTAAGATATAGAAAGTGGCCAGGGTAATAATGATACCTAAACCAGGCTAACATTCAAATCTTATATAGATCAATCCCTTTAGTTTCGGTAATTTCAAACAAATATTCACGAAGAGATTAAAATTGATCATAGAAAAAAATAAGTTCGATACATTAGTTTAAATTAAGAGAAGAAGATTCGACAATCGGCCAAATTTCCCAAATAACAAACATTATTAAAAAATCATCAGAAGAAAATTTTGTTCTTCTATTTCTTAAACGTAGCACAAGCTTTCGATAAAGTGTGACACGAACCACTTAAAAATAAATTATACATGTCATTGACGAAAAAATCAAGCCCGAAACCGACCACATTTAAGATTATTATAAATAATTTTTCGTTCGTTTTGTCGTGCGACCTAGTTCCCTTAAATTCTTATCTTCCTTATTTCGACTACCAAAAATCATTTAAAAAATTAAGTTCTCGATAGCAAACTTAGTGGTACGTGTATAAAGTGTATAAAAATGGGACAACTCTGGCCACTGTCAATTATTAGTCTGGAATAATATACTAAAACACAAAAAATGTTCGATGATACTAAATTGTCACATTTGTCAAAGGTGCTATATATTGTAATATTACTCGAGGAGTTTGGTGGAAACATCAAAAGGAAGATGTCGTGGACCAGTTACTTAAAACAGTTGGAAACAATTAAAAGAGAAAATACAATACATCTGACAATGGCTCTTCTGGGAGGTGTTTTAGATTTTCTCCAGACTATACCGGATGACTTTCAACAACTTAAAATGAAAATAAACGTGCAATATGGCTACGAACACTTTGAACAGGTGTACCAATTACAGGTAAAAAATCGCAAACAGAAACGAGACAGGAGCCTTCAAGAATATGAATTCAAATTGCCAAGATAGTGCGATTTGCCACCCATCAGCTTCAGAATATATGACTAAATGTGTGCCTGTTCAAGAATTTATTTAATGGACTTTATGATGATGAAATGCAAACAACACTCTGTTTAACGTATCACAAAACATTGGACGATGTCTTGTTTGCTGCTCTTGAATTTGAAGCGGCAACTTTGGCTTCTGCTGGATACAGATATGGAACAACTGTAAAAGAGGACAAATGGGAAAATAAATTCGACCAATTTTTTAACATTATAAAATGTCTTATTAAAAAGCAGACAAAGACTATCGAGTGCTAGAATTGAGGTGAAATAAGAAATGTATTCAGTTCGCGCAAACGCCCTAGTATCACTACGACTCAAAAAACCATACCGATAGCTAGTACAGGAAGGAAGAAACGGTGGTACCTGATATACGTGAAACCATAATAGTAACACGGCTGCAAGTAACTGTGAAAGAAGGAACATATATCCTGCTGGCACCTGCGAAGACAAATGAAGGTGTTGGTCGAGGAACTTTAATTCGAAAAGAGTTGGCCACGTCTGCTAAAGTAGTTACAATATGCAAAACAACGGCAGTTAACGATGAGTGGGTCCCAACTAAAATTAGGGAATAAGAAAAAGAAATGATGCAACAATGAAAAATGGAAATTTGTCGACCTACTTGGCAAGGATTATAACCCTCTCCATTGGTTAGGTCATATTTGGCTCAGTAGCAAAAAGGCGTATTAAAGTGAATACTCGATAATGATGTTTGCGAAAACAAAAGACAGTTGGCCATTTCAAAGACTCGAGTAGCCGAAGTAATTCGTCAGTAACACGACAATTCATCAGAAAGATATCTCGGTATTAAGAAATCTCTTCAAAAAGTTCGTGAATGGTTTTATTGGAAGAAGAGTTTCAATGCTTTAAAGGATTGGTGTGAGAAATGTACCTGT